AAAAATTTCTTTGCACTCATTTAATTGATAGATTTTTACAATTCAGTACAATTGAATGAGATATTTAAAAACTCATCTGGCTAGTAAATATGATTTTCAGGAATTCATATCTGGAATGCATGAATCGGCAAAACTCCATTTTGTCAGAGTTTTCCAAATTCCTTCTTGAAGTTTTGTTCCAACCAAGTACAAGTATCAGATTGCTCACCTTGTTTTTTCTTTTCATATTTTGTGCTTTTTTCAAATGCATGCATCAGTTTTGCTTATTTTCAAAATTTGTGCACTCTTCTCCCATTGATAGAGTATTTGTGCGGATTTTTTGAAACTACAGATTTTTCATTCAATTCTTGTTGAAAGATACACTTTGTCAATAAATATCACTGTAAGGTCAAGATATTCATGAATTTAACAATGGATTATGGCCAAGATTCTGTTCACCCTGGAAAGTAAGAACTGGATAAATCTTGATCAAAAATGAACTGAAAACAAATTTATCATGCATTTCTATTAAGGTTCAAGGGATGGCAGATCCCTGGGAGTAGAAGTCCAGACAGTTAGTGGCAGACAGGCAGCATAGAAGGATAGGCTGGTGGTCTTCCCCAGTGGCAAGTTTGCCAGAGTGAGAAAATGCAGCAAACCTAGAATCCTAGAATAGCAATTTGCCAATGGCATGGGATCAGCTTCTTGTACTGCCATTATCTAGACGGTCTGGACCAGGGGTCAGCAACCCGCGGCTCTGGAGCCACATGTGGCTCTTTCATCCCTCTGCTGCGGCTCCCTGTCGCTCAAAATATGCTTCACAACCGCCAATGTGCAACACCCGCCGGCACGGGTTGTATTGAGCTTTTTGACCCCCAGTAGGCCAACCATGGATGAAACCAAGAAAAGAAAAGTTTCAGAAGAAAACAGAACGCTTAATGATACGTGGGCAGATCCATTTGCTTTCACTGCTGACGTGACTGGTTTACCAGTATGCTTAATATGTGGTGAGAAACTGGAAAACAACAAAAAGTCAAATGTTGCAAGACATTTCCAGAATAAACACACAGCCTTTGCTGAAAAATATCCGGATGGAGATGAGAGAAAAGCCATTTTGGAACTGATACGGAAAGTTGATCTGAGCAAAAATCATCTCAAGAAGTAGATTAAGTCTGCAAATTCAACTACATATGCTAGTTTTGTGGCCGCTCAGGAAATAGTCAGGACGGGAAACCATTCACAGATGGAGATTATATAAAAGAATCATTCATTGGTTTCATAAATGCATCACACTATAGTTTTTTTATACATAGCATAAAGGTAAAAAACGATGTATGCAGTGTTAACTTCATTTCAGATGTCAAAAGGGTTTTGTGGCTCCCAGTGTTTTCATTTCTGTGGGAAACTGGTCCAAATGGCTCTTTGAGTGTTTAAGGTTGCCGATCCCTGGTCTAGACAGTTATGTCCCAGTTTAAATTACTGGTGGATTACTCCTTCAACATCAGTTCCCATGGCACAGAGAGCTACCTAAGATGGCACAAATTCCAGGCACAAGCAGGTAGTACTTAGTTTCTGATTTTGGGCATTTTGTTTCTCTCACATTTCAAACTTCTGCCTAGAAGAAAAAGATATAAATGATTATTATACGGATTTTTCCCAGGATTTTAATATTGCTGTCAAAGGGAAAAGAAAACGAGATTTTTAAGGTTGGCTTTCCCTTAGAGAGTCAAATATAAAATACGAAAAAGCAGATACTGCTACATGAAGTTGGGGGAGGGGGTTCCCTCAGTCTTGGTGAATGAGAATTATGGTGGGAACCCAGTAGCAAATAAGGTAGGTTAAACATTGCTGAGGGAAAATTGCCATATTGGTTGCCCATGTAGTTATGAATCTCACTAGGCAGGTCTCCCAGTTTAACCTAAGACTCCCAGTTTTTAGCCTAAAATAGTTGTTCTCAGCTCCTTAGAGGAAAGGTAGAATATCAATAATCTAAATATCTGCATGAGCTGTTTTGTACCTGAACCTGTGACGCAAACTGAAATGTTTAAGTTTGAGAAATAGGTCATCATTTGATATATTTACATGTTTGTCTCTTGTTAAGACAAGTCAGCCTAGTTGCTAGTTCACATGCTTTGTTGTCATATAATCCATGCGATACACGATCCTCTACAACATAACTCAAAACTTTGTCAATTCTTGCAGTGCATTTCTAAATAAAAATGAGAACATTGAAATTACATGATCTGAAATATTAGTGCATGGCCTATAAGCCAGAATGTGCTTTTTCAGTCAATCAACAATTTCAGTAGGGAAGATCTTAAAGCTTTGTTTAATATTAACTCTTCAATATAAGAAATTCCAAAATGCCTAGTTTTAAGCTATGTTGGAATAACTTTGCTTTCACAAAAGCTTGGGCCATATTTGTAAATACTTGATTCAGATTTGAGAAGTCTGAATATCTACCTTTTAAAAAACACATACTTCCAAACCTTTGGCAAGAAAGTAATTATTTATAGATAGCTTAATTTTGTACAATCATGAGAAACTCAATCTGTGGAGGTTTTAATTTTTATTCACAATGTTAAAGGTTAATGCTCCATGTAGATATAGAACATTTAAGCACAGCCACAACCTAATCAAAATTACCCACATGCAGAAATAGAGCCTATCAGATTAATTGCCAATGAAATGTCATCTTTACTAAATGTGCTTCTTACTTCCCTTGAAGTTTCTGAGGAAAAGCATGGTTTTTAGATGTGTATACAAGAGAGGTTGCTCAGGGTGTAAACAAGAGAAGGGTGGCAGAATAGAATCTGGGTATTGTTAACACAGGATGCAGCTGGTACTCACCCTAAGAGAATTGGGAGGGGGGTCCATTCCACTTTCTTTTAACAATGGACTATACTGTGCAGTGTAAATCTTGCTTGTTTATACTCAACAAGGCTAACCTAAGTATCCCTCAAAAGAGATAAAAGGGGTGTGTGAATTTCTAAGATTATATTGAGAGTAAATCATTTGCAGTGGGGCAGGGGAATTTTACTTCCCCTGCCCCACTGCAAATACCGAATAAACCAGGAAAGCCAGCTATTTATTTCTTTGAAGCCAGAGGACAAATACATGTGGTTTGAGTATGTGGTAGCTGGAAAAATGTTCCTTCTCTTTTTTGTTTCCTTGACAGCAAGTGGGGAAGAACCTGGCATGCATGAGCTAGTTTCTGCCTAGGTATACTGCTGCTTCCTTCCTTTTTGGCCTTCATCTTATGGAAAAATGAGAGTTCCTGGGATAACCTTGCAGTGTTCCTGTTGCCATTCCAGCTGGAATGTTCATTTGACTTTCAGTTTGAGCCTGCTTACATCTGTTTTATATGGAAAATGGTTCCGGAGAGGAAGTGGCAGAGAGTGAATGTAGCAGCTCCTACTATACTCCTGTTAATATTTTTGCTTTTGTGTAATTAAAAATATATTGGATATTTTGGTTACTTTCCAGTGATCCTGTCTAGGTAGAGGGAAATCTGCAAATCTACTTATGTTGAATATCCTTGGATCATTTTTATTCATGACGCAGCCTCTGAGTTCTTAAAATTCCCCGTTTTATACTTTGTAGGACTGCTTTGTAACAACCAGGACACCCTGCTTCTCCCTGCTTATGTGGTCTGACTGCACTTCTCATCCTCAACATTTGGAAATATTTCCATTTTTTTTAATCTAACAGAATTCTTTTAGAAATTTCCCCTGTTGTAATTTACAAAAAATATCTTATGTTTAAAAGACACATGACCTCAACATCAAGTTGGCTCCTGCTAGGTCTGATTCTAGGTTTTTCGCGAAAAATCCAAGTAGATTTTTCTGTTGCAATGTTTTCCTTTGCCATTGCATGAAAGGAAGTAATCCTTAGGTTAGAGAACTTCCGCTGACTCTATAATGTAATTATTGTGTACCCTTGCTTCACAAATGCTTCAGATCATGGTGAAATGCTCCTAAACATTTTATCTGATGTGAAAGAATTATCTGTTCATCTGTTATAGGAAGCAAAGCATTGTTGCTCCTTCACTTTGGCAGTTAAAGCTCAGTTTTTAACAACAATGTATATTTACGAATTTTGCATCCTAAGAAGCTGCTTGTAGGTGTTGACATTCTTAGTTTTATCTGAGCAATATGAAAAGTACTATTGCTGAATTTTTGGGTGATTGGAATCACCCAATTTTTGGGTGATTGGATTGTAGGTGATTGGATTGTAGGTGACTCCTTACCTTCCAACTGTATCAGTAATTTGAATTATACTCTGCAACAATGCCTCAGCTATAGTCTATCTCCTTGCGTATTTTTCTTGAACCATTTTAAAATGGAAGAGAAACCATCTCAAAGCTGACCAGAACTGATAATAGAGAATTGTACTTGGGAAACTACATCCTTCCATGTGGAAGAAAATTCTCCAAATCTCCTTTTCCCCCCAGGCAGTTTTAAAGAAGACAAAGGTTATCAGGCAGTTAAACAGATACAAATGGCAACATAAGCAAATAAAGAAGAATATTATTTTGGTAGTAGAAATCAGTGGTCAAGCTAGACAATAAACATGCAAGTGGAAAAAAAAAACTTACCATGTAGATTAGCATGATAAAATGATGCTTCTCTCTTGGCCATCTTACCCCTTTACCTGTGCTTGCAGTTTACAGTGTTGTACAGTACACTGAGCCATCTAGTGACCAGATAATATATTGCATGGAAAATGCAAGGGAATCATAATATTCTGAAAGGGAAAATAAAATTGGTCAATCCTAATAAAACAAGGTGTAATGATCTGTGTTATTTCCACTAGTATACATGCTCACCTTATGCTTTTCTTGTTAAATAAAACTGTTCATCCATTTTTACTGAACTTCTGTTTTCCATTTAGTTTTCAGTTGAGGCAATTTCTTAACTACCCATCCCTATTCTCTTTCTCCTTTCCTATTTCTTATTACTTTGCTTGTCGATAGTGTTACACTTGCACGTTATATTAACCTGACAACTGTTCTGTTCTAGGAGAAACCTGATGCCAGCTCTGCATCCCTACAGCTGCGGTCTCAGATTGAAGTAAGCACAATTGATGCAATAATCTATTTTTGTTTTGCCTTCATTTTGGTATTCTGCATCAGTCAGATAATAGTCCGTCATTGTTCACTCTCAGCTCAGAGCAATGTATCTTCTCTTACAGGATTCCCTTGGCTTCAGCAGTTTAGTATCAACGCCAGAAACAGAAAGAAAGTAAGCTTTGCTATTTATTTGTGCATGAAACTTTTCAAGAAATGCTAATTCACATCAAAAGTATTTTATTCTTATATAATCCTGCAAATATTACTTGTTAAAGTAAAATTCAATAAACTTACCAGTGTGTGCTCATTTCCCAGTTTGTATCTCCCTTTCCCAGTTTCTATTTTTTTCAGTTACTTTATACTTTTAAAACAAGTGTATGCTTAAATAACAAGACTGATAGGATAAAAGTTTATTTTAACACTGGACACAAAGAAAATACCTCTGTGTACATAAAGTAGAGAGAAAATAGCACCTTAGGTCTCTCATTTATACTTTAAGTCTTGCAAATAAGTCCCATTCTCTTTGTTTCATACCTTAAGTGTCAAAGGTAGTGAAAAAATGTGTAGACAGACATATGGGTTTCTTAGGAAAGTGCCCTCTAGGCAGCTGCACAGTGGAATATCATCTGAAGAAGGCAAGTCATTTTAAAATTACCTGAGGTTATGGGTATTTGATGCCAAACTGAAACATTGAGTGGCCAAAAGAGACAATGATTGAGCTCTGGGCTCATCAGATGTGACAGCTTGATTGATTGGTGCTAGCCTTCCTCCCCTAGATGAGCGACATTGCCTCATCAATCCAGCCAGTTACATGCTAGCGAAGCTTGTAAAATCCTCTCGTAGAAGAATATACTTTTTCTTCTTCTTGTCACAGTCATTGAATCCATCTTTCTTACCACAAACTGTACAGGATAAGTCTACACTTCATAAGAATTCTTCTATCCTATACAAGGTGTCCAACATTTGTATGTGCTTGATGTCAATTGGAGACAAAATGCTCTAGATATTGCTTAAATGACATAGGCCCAAAGACCTTTGAGGGCTATGGGATTCTGGTTTGACATCCTTCTTGGACCTGTTTCTGCACCAAGAAGCCAAGTTAAAAATTGAAATATCTAAACTAAAATACTCTTAAATTTCTTGTCAGAAATAGTGTCCCCAATTTCTATACAGTTGTAGTCTTCTTATACTCTGGCAGCTTGTCTACCAAGGCGCTTGTTCTTTAATATCACATTTGGAATCCCTGTTTACTGGCCTACTACTAAGATCAGTAACAATGATGGGCACTAAGAAGAGGGCTTTCTCAATGGTGACACCTCCCTTTTGGAATGCCCTCCTGAGAGATAGAAGCAGATACCTGCTTTTGAACTGTAAAAACATGCTAGCTTTTATATAGCTTTTTATAGTTAATGTCTCTGATTTTTAATTGAAAATGTTTTATGCTATTTGCTAGTGTTAGATATTTGGAATTGTATTTAATTTTATTATGTTCTGTGACATAGTTAAAGATGCACTAGAAAGTGCACCATTCTTCTGAGGTGGTGCTAGCAGCTGCTGATACCTGATGGGCAACCACCTGTGTTCCATTGTTGGTTTTCATCTTTTTGGCCCTGAATCTGAATGTAGCCTAATTAAGAATAAGCAGCATGAACTGTGCCAAATTGAATCCAGATTGTGAGATCCGTTGGGTCTCTTCATACATATGAACCTGCAAGTTATAATTCAGAATCTTTAATAATCTCTAATTGCCTACTTTTTAAAAACGAAATGTAGCCATATGTAGACTTTAAAGTTAAGGCAAATAAGCAGTACAGAAAAGTTGATTCATACATATGAGGCTACCACTGGTGATTTGTAATGCATGATAATTTGTTTAGAAATAAACTTATTTTTCTCATCACAGTAATAAATTATGTGAGACTTTCAGTAACATTTTAGCTACAGTACAGCAGCTAGGAGACATCTGTATGACATAAGCTTGTTTTCAGTAAAAATTCATGTCCTTTTTATATATTGGGAAATATGTCTCTGCTGTAGAAAATTTTACCAGCTGTTCCACTAGATTCTTCAAGGCTAAACTAAAACTAATGGAATAATGACCCATTTTCACACTTTGAAGGAAAAAATGTCCGTTTCACAATGCCTGAAAGTTGCATAGTATGTGCTTTAAAGTTTTAAAAGGAGCTCCCTTGAAAGCATAATTCTGGATCACTGCTACAATTTTCAGTATGTCTTTAGAGCCAAGGGTTCAGTGAGTACAATAGCTTTATAGCAGCTTACTGTACTGGGAAACTGGCAGTGAATGGTGTTTAGAGACCTAGGTATGTACTGCCAAGTTCATGTCACAGACTTTAAAAGAGTTCAACTGCTCTGAGATCCTTAAAGAAGGTTGGAATGTTGGTTATTTGAAAGTGATCCGTGTGTCTGTTCATTTATTTTATTTTATTTTATTTTTCATGCTTGCAAAGAGAAAAAATAAGAAAAGAGACTCTGTTTTTTCATTGATCTCTATTGTCACTGAAACAGATTCCCCTGACCTGTAGCTGGAGGTAGCACATCTATGCATCAGTGCAGAAGTAAATAGAAGATTCTGCCCAAGTCGGGGTTATTGCCATCTGTTCAAAGCCTGTGAGAAATGAGTTGGTGGTCTTAGTCCAATTTCTACTGGGTGAATACCACAAAAGCTACCATAACATTTGGCATTAGACTAAGGGAAATCTTAACTGCCTACTGCAAAGTGTTTCTAATAGGCATACAACAGTAGAGCTTCCAAAAATGAAGAAAGGGATTCGTATATTTCAACTTCCAATTGCTATAGTAACTGGTCCCTTCTAATTTCTGTATATGCATATTTGTTGATATGAGAGTGGCCATTTGACCCAGTTTTTGCACAGTGAGATAAAACTTGAAAACTTTCCCCAAGAAGTTGGTGATTTGTGTAGGCATAATTGGATTTTACTTGTATCTTCGGGATCTCCCTTCGGATATCTTGAACCTGATGGCAGCTCTCCTGGAATTGTTTACACAGGCAAAAAAGGGAGAGGTTTGGTGATCACTGTGCTTTTGGCAGGAAATCCAGGTCAAACTAAGTCATGCCTCCTTCTGCATCCTGTCTTTCATCCTGTTTTTATATTGGCTAGAGGATAGTTTTGGACACCAGATTTCTGCTTTCCAGAATATATTCTGGTTTTTTGTTTTTGTTTTTTGGTTCCAAAGAGTTGTTCTTCTAAGGCAGGCTACCCGGTCCAGCTTTTGAAATTGAGGATGTTACATCATTAGTACTTTGTAAGTGTATTTCTTTTTAAGACTTCTCAAAGCAGCAAGATGCCCAATTTAAAGAATGTAAAAAACAACTTAATGGCATCTGTTTGCCTGTTATTCAGTCTCTTTAATTGTGTCATCTGAATGTACATTTGTACATTATGTAATTGCTACACATCTATTCCTCATTCGAGGAACAGAAAAATTCAACTAGGCAAGTTTTGTGAAATAAATGCAATTTGACCTTGGGAGTTTTGTTACTTCATTTTTCAGGGCCCAGCAATGTTCTTACAGACTCTTCCCTGCCAGATGTATTATGAGTTTATTAGAATGACACCCCAGCCCTCAGCACAGGCATTATTCTGGCCAAAAACTGCATGCAGGATAAGCTGTTTGTTTATAAATGGTGTATGTGCTGTCAGAACACTGTCACATTTTTGAGGAGCTTTGCATTTCAAATCATGGGAGGTTTTTTGTCTTAAGTAGCTGTGAGCTTTACTCTCTGCTGAAAAAAGTGTAAAATCTCTCATCATGCTGTGCTCTGACCTTGTGTGCATCTCATGATGAACTGCAGAGTTTGAGTGTATGCTCTGTGATCGGATCTTTGGCTAAGGGAAGGAGCTTTATGTTGTTATGATTGAGTCTGTGAGTGATTAGTTTTTTTGTATTGGCTCAAAGGGTTGTTAACTAACAAATTGGTACAGGGGAATCACACCACTTGCTAATTTAAATGCTGTGGATATCTACAAATAGGTTATATGTTTCTTCATATGAAGAGGTCAGCAATTTTTATTGATTTTGTTGTACTGAGATCTCCCTCCCTCCATTACAAGGGGTTAGGTCCAAAGTGCCATGTGTGGTTATATGATCCATTTCTGGAGGCATGTCTGGTCTGTCTTACCATACCAGATCCTTCTACTTTGAAGACCTGCTCCTCTGTTATCATTCAGAGAATGCAGGATGTGCAGCTGAGAGGAAATCACCAGTGCCCTTGTGTTTGGGCAGAAGCATTTATTCTTTCCAATCATACTTCTTTGGGTCCCAGTTTAAATCTCCAGATCTTATTAGCATTAGGAAGGCATTTCTGGCATTCAGTGTTTTTATATTGTTATAAGTAGTATCTCTTATCAATGCTTGTATTTTTTAAAGAATTCATCCAACTTAAAGAATAAATGTTTCAGAACTGTACATTTGAAACAGTTGCTGTTACCATAGATTAATGTCTGATTGCAGTCCTAATCCTCAATGGTGTTGAAACAGCATTCTGGGTTATACTGCCATTTCAGTGGTTTAAATTATGTTGTATTTCAGAGATGTCCAACCAATCAAATTAACTATGGCATTTTACCATGAGTTCATCTGCAGTGAGACAGAAGAAAGACAATGAGGGAAATGGCAAAGCAAAAAAAGAGACAAAAGCAAAACAAGGAAGAAGAGAAGCTAGGGTTTAAAAGTTGGTTATTAATTAATGTAGAGATTAATGCTTCCTCCTAATATAATTAAGTAATGTAAGATAGACTTTTAAAATTGGAAGGCAGGGAATAAGAAGCAAGAGGAGCAGTCTTTTTCAAACATTCAAACTTTGTAAAGTGTATGTGAGAGAGTATGAGAAAGGGAGTGAGAGAGCTAGTTCTAATGTTTGAAGCTAGATTTTATTGGCAGCCAAATTATTCATGCTGCCTGCAAATAATTTCCCTGAGAGAAGTAGGGCAGGAAACTCGCACAATAACGCTTACAAATGGGAGTGAGAAGTCATCCAAACAGTGCTTGTGACATGTGATGAGCTAGACCAGTGTGCCTCTGAGCAGCTGAAGGAATATTTCTTCCTGGCAATTGTTCTTGGAGAAACGAAGGCCTCCTTTCAGAAGAATGTGGAGCTTGTTGCAGCGAGTTTATACCAAAGCACTTTTG